GACATAGCTTTTTAATAAAGACTTGAAGCATACATTTATATACAATATGACAACTAAATTTGAATTTTCGAAGCTATACATATATCGTTGACCTCAAAAAACGAAAATTACCTTTTCATGTCGGTCACAATTTGTTTGGTCAAAATTTTGACATCTTGCCCATCGTGAGGGTTTTAGTTGAGCTTTCTGTTTGAAGGAAGAAACAAGAAGTTTTCGGTGTGATTTTGACCGAAAAAGGCACTTCAATTGGATACTCAAGTTTTCAAGAGCGTTGATTCTAATATTTGCCTTGATTCGAAACGCTTTTTCAGAGTGGAGGCTTCCTTTTTAGCTTTTTAACACTTTGATATTCAATTGGTTTTCTTCATCTTTTTCTTGTTGTGTTAATGACTCTAATTGTCTGTTCGATTGTAAGAGTGAAATTTTGGTGGAAAGAAAATGAATTTTAGGGAATTAAATTGATTAGAATTGTTTTTTCTGGGAATTGTTAATTAATTGTGTTTGATTAGTATAATTTTCCACGTAAAAAATATTTAAATTTTGAATTTTTTGATGTTCGTTTGGTTTTGTTTTATATGAAAATTGTCCATTAAAAGGATATAATTTATTACAATTGGAGATATAATTTGTTTCCATTGAAAAAAAATTTTAAAAAAAAAAAGTAAACTGGAAATCCTCTAAATCAATGAATTCCCAATGTGTGAGCCATAACCAAGAAAATGAATTGTCAAAAAATGAAACCAATCAAACAAGCCAAGACCAAGAGGATGGAAATCAATTTCCAAGTTCCATGAAAATCAATCCAAATCAAACAGGCCCTAAATATAGACTTATTTTAAAGACTTTTTTTTTTGTCATTTTTATTAGTTGACATTCCTATCATCATGTTGAAAGTCACGATTAAGTCCAAGTTCCAATATTTTGATTTTTTTTTTTGCTGTTGGGACACTTTTCATGCAATTTGTTATGTATATGTATCGATTGCAAAACTTGGATTGGAGTTGGGGGTTGTAGCTGGGTAGAATCCAGCGTATGATCAGTTGGGGTGGTTTCAAATGAGAACTGGACAATCGTGGATGTTGCCGATGATTTAAGCTGGGATTTGTCTCATTACTTCATGCCTTGAAGATGGAATTTACACAATTCTATTTCTATTTCATGTTATTCAAACGACTGATATTGGATCATAGATTGATAAGGAAATAACATCACTTCTTTTGATTGAAGTGGTTAGAAACTTTTCCACCTCTCAAAGTTATTAATAAAAAATGGATGAAAATGAATAGCTTCATATTGCACAAGGATGTGACGAAATGAAGAAACGTATTGCTGGTTCAGTCTCCTTTGTGACTACCAAGAAGAGATTGATATATTCTTTCTCTTTAGAATTACATAATTTTTATTTTAAAGTTCATTTATATATTTTTAATTGAAGGTGATTAACGAGTTGCTTATCTTTAGCAAAAGGATATGGATCGTTCAATGTTTCAATTAGAGTTCTTTAGCCACGTGCATAGGAATAATCATCGGACTTGAGGATTTATTGATAAAAAATTCAAATAAATACAATTAGAGTTTCATTTAGTGATCAATTTGATAAGAAAAATTCAGCAACTTGTTAATATGACTCAAATTTTGTTGGATGTTCGTGTCTTGGTTGAAAAAGGAGTTAAAAAGGTTAAAACATGGATGAAATTAAGTTGAGGCAGAGATTGGGCACTTGGGCATCAAATCAGGGTGCCTTGGTGCCATATAGAGTGGAAAATTGGTTTTAGAACAGAAATTCAGTGCTTAGGCGCCATTTGGAAGTGCTGCCCACTGCTTGCTGTGCACGAGGAAGGGCGTTCGAGCACTTCGTGCCTCTGGCTTCACGTGAGCTTTGGCGCTCAAGCGTCATCGTTATCCGGAAAAATATTATTTCGGGTTTTCTAACTCATTTTTTTATCGGCTTTCCATCTAAAACATATTTTTTGGGTCCTATTTATACTCCACAAAATTATGCCTTTGTATAGATTCCGAATAATATTAAATACATGATATTGTCGTATTCTTTCTCCATATTATAGTAAATTCTCATTTCCTCTACCAATTTATTGTGTTCTTCTTGTGTTGCGATTACTACTTCATATTGTGTTATATAATCTCATCTTTAATTCGTACCAAGTGATATCAAAGCTTAATATTTGATTTGTTCAAGATTTTTTGTTCTTGTGATGACAACCTGAAGTAGAGTTTTCCACTTTTGGATTGCAACATTAGATTTGCATTGTGGGAGGTAAAGATGCAGGCAGTGCTCGTTCAGATGGATTTGGACTATCCTTTGTTGGGATTTGGCAAAAGGCCCTAAAATTGGTCGATGGGGGAGAAATAACATAAGGATTGAAAGACCCTATGATAGGTTCATCTTCATATTTCAAATTAAATTCTTCAAAACGTTTTGAATGAGAAAATTACAGTTGCGTTATGGTAGAAATTGGAACAATTATGCATAACTAAGAGTCTAACCAACAAATTGCATTTGAAGCAGCATTTGTATTTTCGTTGCATAACAGAAAGTACATCACTTGAAAAATACCTTGCCGTCGTCTTCAAAGAAATATTCGCTAATTTGGAAACTTTGAAGGTAAAGTATAATGAAGAAGATTTTGGGTTGATTTTATTGTGTTCGTTGCCTGCTTCATATATGTCATTTAGATACACGACATTATATAGATACAATAATCTCATCGTTAAAGAAGTATATGATGCTCTGTTTTTAAAAGAGAAGATGAAGTATCGTTGAATATGAGGTTTATAGAGGCAGACTTCTTGTTGATAGTGGTTATGCAGGGGGCAGATCGAAATCTAATTTCAATAATAAAATTTGTAACTATTGTAAAAAGAAGAGACAAATATAAAATGATTGCTATAAGTTGTAGAATAGAAAAAAATGGTTGCGTATCTAAAGGGAAAGCAACTAGAAACTCTAGGTGAAGTCGATATTGCAGAAAATTGCTATAGTGATTAGAACTTTTGGTTATTTCTAACGGCGACTTCAAAATTGACGATTATTGAATTCTTGATACAACTTGCATATATATATATAAAGATTTATTTACAACAAATGAAACAGTTTCAAAAGGAGTTTTTATAATGAGTAATAATGAATCTTATAAGATAACTAATATTGAAAGGGTCTGAATTAAGATATTTGATGGAACAGCTAGAACATTTGATAAAGTGATATATGCTCTAGATTTAAAGAGAAATCTTATTTTTTTGAGTACTCTTGGTTCAAAAGGGCAAAGTACACCGGTGAATGTAGGGTTCTGAAAGTTAGTAAATATGTCTGTGTTGTATTGTAGGGACAGAGAACCCCAATCTTGCAGGGTAGCAGAATCATTTGAGAGCAATCAGCAGAAATTATGAATTTTGATGGGTATTCATTTTGGTACAATACTATTGGAGTTTGGTTTAGGATCCACATTAAAAAATATATCTTAGTCGAGTTCAGAAGTTATGGGTAATGTCGCTTTGCCACCATCACTAGCGGTGCTATTGTATTCAATTCTTAGAGACATGCCCAAAAGAGATATTAGGCCTCCACAAAGGTATGAAAAAGTTGATTTAGTGGCTTATGCTTTAAATGTGGTTGAAGGTGAGTTTAACAAATATTATTCTATAGAAGTAGTTTGATGTGTTCATTCTGTAACATGGTATGTTTCTGTCCTATTTGGTAATTATTGTTGAGTTAATTGTGATTTTGTTGCTCATGACAATAGTTCGAGTAGTTTTGGTATTTGAGGTAATTCTGTCGTGCCGTGTTTGGATTCAATTGATTTAGTCCTAGTTGGACGTCGTGGAAGAGGAGGAGATTTTTTGTTGGAGTTAAGTTTTATTAAAGAGTCATTGGTTTATTTTTTGTAGTGGAATTTGTCTTCAATAGAGAATTTTTGAAGTTTTATTTTGTATTGTAATTTGTGTTATGATGAAGATTTGTTAATATGACCCAAATACCT